TGGAATATTCCCAAAAAATCCTGGAAAGTTTCCAAAATTTCTGGCATATTTCTGAAATTTACTGGAAATTTTCCACCTTTTTGCAACCCGAGTATTTATTAATTTTTATTTATTAGTTTTAGTATTTATTTAATTTATGTCAGTACTTTTAAGTGTTGCCCTGCCAACAAATTATAAATAAAAATATTTCATCTTAACATTTTAATAATTCTATTGTGTTTTTGTCTTTACAAAACGTTTGTAAAGTATTTATAAATTTTTATTTACTTATTTAATAAACTATATATAAATATTTTATTTCATACATTAGCACTTTTGTGTTTTGCCTTTTTTTAACAAAATATCTGTACAGTACAGTACAGTACTAAATTTAGTTTATTTAGCTTGTTATTTTAGTATTTCGACTAACTAAATGAAAATGAAAAATGTTCCCCTGACAACTAGATATTTAAACATTTTTATATTTTTAAATAATTTTAATAGATACTTAAATATAAATAAATAACTAATTATATAGTGAAATACATATAATATTCAAACATATAATATATATTAAATATATTAAAAATAAAGATATAAATGTGACCCTGTCTGTGAAAACCCAGCTAAAGTCATTTTTTGGCGATTTACTGTTTTCTACATAAAATCATCCTTCATAAGGTAAATAACATTCTGTGAAAATGTAACATTGATATCATGTCAAAGATTGAAATCATAGTGAAATTAACAGTTGAAATCAAACTTTGATGCTTATCTCATAATTAGATTTTGAGACTTTAGCCTGGATTTCACAGAGAGGGTCACAACTATTTTATTTTAGTTAATGTTTATTTCATTTCAAGTAACCAAAATGTGTTTTTATGGTTTTAGTTTTCATTAACGATACTGACCCTGACTAGGTGCTGAGGTGGGTCAGAGCAGGCATTATTTAGTCTGGCTTTTATGCAGCATTCGGATAATTTATGCAGCTTAACACTCGGATGTGTAAAGACACTTTAAAGTTTGAACTGACTGAATTGAATTGACATTGAACTAAACTGATCTGAATAACGACACTGTCTGCTTTGAAACAATCTGCATTGAGTAAAGTGCTGTATAAATAACTGTGACTTGACTTAAATTAAACATGCATTTAATATTAGTCTCTCTGCTGCATTTGGCAGATGCTTTTATCTTTGCATTCAAGGTGCACGGTTAAGTTCATGTATTCCCTGTGAATCAAACCCATGAGCAAACTAATTCACACGGAGCCGTATGGGTGGTTCCTCTTCTTCACGTTTACCTCTATGGTCCTGTAGAAGGGATCCAGAAGGATCTTTGCGAGGGCCACGATCTGCGGCGTGCGGTCCCAGCCGTCTGAGCAGTGCACCAGCACCGGCCTTCCCTCCCGCTCCACCGCAGAGCACACCAGAGACGCGGCCTTCAGCATGACAGACAGGTGCTGCAGCCAATGAGTGCTTTCCAGAGCCGAGAGCCAGCTGGAGAGAGCAGACGCACGGGTCGGGTTACAAACGTCTGAACGCAACATGATAGAGACACTGCATGAGGAGGGAGAGCTGCAAATAACTGCAGATGTCAGATCTGGATCACCAAGCAGAATACATGTGTGCATTTGCTGGAAAATCAGGAAACACTTTACCTGAAGCCTTATATATAATGCACTATAAAAGTATTTTAATGCATTGTATGATCACATCAATAATTGCAACCACAGTTATAATACATATCTTTTCATCGTTACACCTTTAGGAAGTACAATGCATTAAAACACATGACAAACAACCGATTTCAGATTTCTGCAATTATAATGCATTTTCACTTTGGTTACACTCATTTATGAAAATATATACAATGCATTGCAATGTGCATCATGAATAACTTTTTATACATAAATACATTTTATACATTATACATAATGGCCTCAAGTAACGCGTTAAAAATAAAAAATAAATTTGACTTCTGAAGTCGCTTTTGTAATGTCTACTCAATCATTCACTCATTATATTTGTAATATCTTTGAATTATCTATAAAGGCTTTTCTCAGCTAATTTTGATATGAGATTAATTGTGTCTCAATTCGTCCCATTTCAACAAATTGATTGAGATCTATGGATATTGGCTATTTTAGGAGCCAATAAATATATTACATAAATAATATTCTTTTATTTTTAATATTAATAATATTAAAATATTATTATTATATTATATTATATGTTTATATCCATTCATATATATATATATATATATATATATTAGAGTTAATGCACTTACTTGCCGGGATCCGGGATCTGACTGCAAACGGCTTTGAGTGACTGAAAGCTGTTTCTGATGGAGTGGATATTGGCCATGCCCATAAACATCACCTCACAGTTGGGATAGTACTCTACAAACACAAATAAAGCAGAGACAAACCTGCCTTCAGCCAACAAACCAACAAACAACCAATAATGTCCAACGGCATCCAGAGCTTGAGTATGAGTTCAGCGGCGCTCACCTTCACACTCGCAGCCTCCTCCTTTGGCACGATTCGCCACGGCGGCGGTGTAAGAACGGGCATCCAGAATCAGTAATTTCTGTGCTGCACTGCTGGCATCAGGAGTGGGACAACCAGTCAGAGACGAGTCTGAGGAAAACAGGAGAGTGGGTGTGATTAGAGCAGAATTCTGACATACTACACTGCATTTACTGCAGGGTTGGAAATTAATGGGGGCTTGGTGTCATCAAAATGAACAAAAATGCCCCCCAAATTCAACATAAGGGGGCATTCTATCACTTCCTCAGCAATGGATGCTCGGCAGTGAATGGGTGCCGTCAGAATGAGAGTCCAAACAGCTGATAAAAACATCACAATAATCCACAAGTAATCCACAGCACTCCAGTCCATCAGTTAACATCTGGAGAAGACAAAAGCTGTGCATTTATAAGAAACAAAACCATCATTACGGCATTTTTAACTTCAAATCGTTGCTTCCAGGTAAAACACGAGTTCATAATCCATTATAACGCCTCCTTCAGTGAAACGGTTTGAAGTTACAATTGTCTTGATGGATTTGTTTCAGCTTTTGTCTTCTCCAGATGTTAACTGATGGACTGGAGTGGTGTGGATTATTGTGATGTTTTTATCAGCTGTTTGGACTCTCATTCTGATGGCACCCATTCACTGCAGAGCATCCATTGCTGAGACACTGATGCAGTGCTACATTTCT